ATTTCGCAGGAGATGGGGCCAGTCAAGCCGTCCATCCAATGGCAAGTTATACCCCACCAGGCAAACGGCCAAGGGCGGATTGCTCATGCCTGCACGTCCGCAGCTTGTTCCTGCAGCGTGCTCATTTCCGTGCAGATGTGCGATGACACAACAACCCACCCTCGCATGTTGCCTTACAGTGACAGGTCAAAGTCTACAGTTGCTGACAGATTGTTTTCGGCATGTTTTTTAGTACTATTATTACTTACGACTTGCTACTTATTACGTATTACTTATACTTATATTACTTATTTATTCTTACTGACTACTTCTTACTGATTACCTATTATTGGTACTATTACTATTAATACAATTACAATTATTATTTCTGCACTTGGCAAGGAGCAAAACATCCCTGGACAATTGCAAGACGAACGCTCGGCCGTGAAGAGCGACCAGGCCTGAGTGAATCGGGGTATAGTAAGGTAAAGTATAGTATGGAACAATATGGTATAACATGGTACGGTATACTATCGTATAGCATAGTATAGTGTAGTATAATAGAGTATAGTATAGTATGGCATAATCTAGAATATAGTATAATAAAGTATAGTGTGATCCTGCATGCCGCAGCTTCAGTGCCCAATGTTGGAAGCAGCGCGGTTCTGTGTTTCGTGTTTGCCACCTAGCCCCTTCTGGTGCAGGAAGATGACATGGCCAGTGTTGCGGCTTGCTGTGCATTGATGGGGTGTTGGGTCTCAATGCTCTTCGCGGGCATTTACATTTTGCTTCACCTGAAGATCGCCCAAACTCATGAAACCAGCTGAAGCAGTATTGTTGTTCGGGGCTTGGATTTCGTGACCGCAAGTGCAGCCGGGCAGTCTTTGCCGCGCAGCTGCATTCCGCAGGAAAGGATACTCCGCAGTACCTGTCCTTAAGACTGCAGGAGGTTTGCGGGTTTAGGGTTTGGGCTGTAGGGTTTAGGGCCCCCGCAGGTGCCAATGCCGACACGCAGGGACCGCAGAGCCAAGACTGCGAAAGAGAACCTGCCAACCCTGTCTGCGAAACCGCGCAGGACTGGCTGGACTGCTTCTGTGCCACTGTTGTAACCTAGGGAAAAGTCTGGCATTGCGATCTAGCAGGGTATGAATGAAGCAATCTGGCAAAAGTAGCTGAGAAGACAGAACAGGTGCATTTCAATCTCTTAGAAGCCCTGATCTCGGACTTGCGCTCATCCTCGGTGTGAGAAGTAGGCTCCGTGACTGTACAGTTCATGATGCTACTGTTGATGGATGAAATCCTACACCACCTTAAGTCCCTAAAGTCCTAGGAATTACAATTCAATAGTTAAGGGGCTCTAAGTGGTGCAAGATTTCCTCCATCAACAGTAGGTCTCATTGGGTTGCGTGGAGTGGGATCCCTGATCATAGTCGGAAGTTGGTTTGGAATGGTTTGGAGCTTCCTATGCTGAGTCTTGGCATCATTTTTGTTTCTTCGATCGCTCGAAACCACACCGGCGCGGGTCATACTAGACTCCATATCCTCCAGCGAATCACATGAGGCGAACTTATAAGGGTCAGTAGGGCTCTCAGGCTTTGGAGGCTTGACAAAAATGAGTACTTCTTCCAAAGTAGCTATCGCCGCCTGGTACGACTCCAAGGCATCTGGTATGTATGCGCTGGTGCTGTGCCATGTTTTCGCTGCTGCTGCTGCTGCTGCTGCTGCTGATGGTCGCCTGAAGTAGCCTCAGAGATTCTTTTCAGCTTCGTGAGCTTTGCTTTTGGTAGGGCATTGCTATCTTCCGGAAAGACCTTTCTTAACATACGAGCTACGGACTAAATTTAGGTTGGGGGGGAACTATAGGGGACTATATAGGGTTTTGGGACTGGACCTATTAAGGGATATATTACAAATCTAGTCCAGGGCTCATGCAACAACACAAGGCCCTGTGGGAACAAGCAAGCCTCTGGAATTCCAAGACGGCACGCCTAACTGGGTTGCTATTAAGGAACTTAATTTAAGTTACTACATTGGGGAAATCTTATTATTTGTTATATATACCCATGGCAACTTAAATCCTAAATCCTAAGCCCTAAACCCCATATTACGGTAACTGAACTTAAGTTCCTGAGCAGCAACCCAGCTTAGGAAGCGTACGTACATTTTATCTTTGAGGAGGCAGACCAGCGATCCTCCGACATGAGCCTCTAGGGTTTAGGGGTTCAGTGGTTAAGGGTATCCCCCATCGTCATGCACCTGTACGCTCGAAATCGACGTCAACATACGTCAATATGCTCTACTTGTAGCACGTCTGGACACCAACATCTTAGGCTGGCAAGAAGAAGGGTTGCTTCCAGTCACCGAATATCACTGTCATTATTTCTATCAGTATTACTATCATTATTACTAGTATTATTACTGTCTTTTACTGTGATTATTATTCTTATTAATGCTACGATTGCCATTCTTGTTATTTCTCTTGTTTTTCCGATGTTTATCATTACTGTCTAGAAGTGCACTCCATCTGCCAATCCATGTACACTGCACTTAGCAGTCCACTAGCTCTTGCAACGTACATGGCACCATTACTTAATAGCTCTTTGTTCAGTACTCCATTTTGTTTTAAAGCACATAGGGGCCATATGCGTTCTCCACGGCTTGCTGAGCTTGTGAGGACGTCTTGGTTCCAAAGATCTCAGAAGGTGGCACCAGTAAAAGCTGCTGGTTCAGCAATTTGAGAAGTGCTGTGCGGTTGTTGCCTGGGGCATGCGCAGAATGAGTTTTGGTTCAGTCAGCTGGTGTGCATTGCCCGCTGCTTTCTCAGAGTTCTCGGCTTCCCTGAAGGAATAATGGAAAAGAGAATGGAAGCTACTATGTTCTAACAGTGTTTTTTATATGAGCCATGGTCTAAACTCCTTGAGGGAGGTTATATAGGGGATTATATAGAGGACTACTCTAGGAGTTAATTAAGGGGGATACTAGAAGTTTTGACAATAGCTCATATAGTGATACTACCCCGCCAGCATCAGAGACTAAGTTTGTACCCTTATTGTTTGGGTCCCAGATACCCTTATGAAAGGCCATGTTCCATGGGTTAGGGGCCCAAACCCAAGGGTACAAGCCCTGAGGGTACAAAGGAAAACTCACTGATAGTAATTAGTCCCTGTCAATGTGTGGGGGCCAGGAACCAAAGTGCATGGTCCATGGTGCTGAGGAACGCCAGACTGCCAAGCTATCCCGCAATGAGAAGGCTGCCGGAGCTATGCTGTTTGTTTTACAATTTGAGTAGTATTTTATTTGGGGATACTATGGTACCCAACATAGAGTAAGATTCTATCGTCCTTTGGGATATAGTATTTTATATAAGGGATGTAATCTTATTGGGGTTAACCACCAAAAAAATCGCCATTCATCTGGGATTCCCAAAACTAGGGTTCCCTGCTTTGGGGGCCCCGTAATATGGACTATAGCAAGCCGGGGCCTATCTTTGGTTTCCTAGTTCTGGAAACTACCATGGGACCTTCTGAAACATGCTGAGACGTTGGGTACTGCCCCCACCCAGTAACAGTCTATATTAGGGGTCCGATTAAGGGCTATATATAGCCATACTATACTTAGTATCCAACTGTTACTGGGGGGGGGGGGCATCACCCTGAACCCTAACCCTAAACCCTAAACCCTAACCCCTAAACCCCTAAACCCTAAGCCCTAAACCCCAGTACCCAACTGAGACCTACCAGGAAGAGGCTCGGAAAGCGGGGGAGCTTGCACATGGAGCTGGCCTCCTTGGTGGCTTTCATGCTGAGATCTTCGACTGAAAAGACACAAACTTGAAACATATGAGCTTTAGTCTAAACTCCTTAAGGGGGGGTTATATGGGGGATAATATGGGGAAGTACTATAGGGTTTATTCAGGGGGATACTAGGAGTTTAGACTATAGCTCATATGACTTCAGGGTGGTTGAGGGTTCAGGGTTTAGGGGAATGGCGGAAATACCCTGAAGGCCCTCCCCCCTTTGCCGAGCCCACTCTCATGCGACCCTCTCCAGCTCCAGGATTTTCGCGGTCACTTTAACTCATTATTTCTTCCCAGAACCCCAACACTGAGAACGAAGCCCCTTCCGAAACCTGCTCCGCAAAAAGCAATGCGTTTGGGTGGGTGAGGTACTTCTGAAAGTACTGAACCTTGATTCAAACAAGCTTACGTCAGTGGCTTCGGCAGATAAACATCAAGTCGGGACAGGGGTAGACCAGCACAACTTGCAGAGGTTAGGGTTTATAGTCCCCCTTACGTAGATAGAATATGTTTTTGGGTATATTACAATAAGGTCCCCATATACCCCATGTTCTATCTGCTTAAGGGGTACTAGAATGTGTAGCGTTATGCGCAACCCTGCCGAGTTGCACTCCCGAATGAACAGCGAGACATGAAAGCCAATCTGAACCCCAGCAGCTGAATCTTACACCTAAACCCTAAATCCTAAACCCCTAAACCCTGACCCCCTAAACCCTCAACCCTAAACCTCGCAAGGTATTCCACAACTGCAGTTTTGAAGAGCGCCAAGGATGGTATGGCGTGCCTTCGCTATACACATCTTCAGGAATTCTGACACGTTCGCTCAAAAGAAGCGTGCTCTTTTAAGCGATCTTCGGCAGGTTGTCAAGTAAATGAGTTTAGGATTTAGGGTTCAGGGTGCCACGCAAAGGTCCGACCAGCGGAAGCACCGTGCCAAGAATCGGTGCAGCAGGCTGGTGATTCGGCTCAGATTTTGTGCTGGGCGGTTAAGGGTTTAGGGTTTAGGGCCTTCATTGGTTCATCGGTTTTAAGCAGGTGGGAGTTTCCCTGAATAGGGATACCCCAATATAAGCCCCAAAACACTAGAATCCCTATAATGGGGACCCGCCAAGAAGGTACCCATAGCTTTTGGAAACCCTAAGCACTATCCCCAATATAGTCCTGTATAACCCCATAACCCCTAGACCCCCCTTTAACGGTACCCCTACTATTGGGAAACACCCAGGTCATGGATCCTTGGTTCGAGCGTTTGACGTTGACGATGGTCCTTCTGAACGCGGTCCTTGGCCAAAGAAAGAGGCCTCATCAGGGTTTGTGAAGAAGCTCTTAAACCTACCTGAACCACAAAAATATGTGAGCTATAATCTTAACTGGGGATTATAGGGGACGATTATAGGGCTTATAAAGGGGGATGCGAGGAGTTCAGATTGTAGCTCATGTAGCAAAATGGCCTTTCGGGTTATATTTAGGTGTTTCGGGCTAGTAGTTCACCTACTTTGGGGGTTCAGGTTTAGCTTAGCGGTGGTTGGTAGGGAATAAGGGAGTATAATCCTTACATAATCCATTCCCTCAGTCTCTACTAACCACCAGTAATAGAAATCTACCACAAGCCAGCGCCTTGGTGTCTATGAGAAGGTGGAACAGAGAAGGGATCACATGCTCTGGATTTGCAACAGCAGCTTCCTGCCACTGAGAGCTTCACCTTCATGATGCACTACATGACAGGGCTGACTGGGAGACTTGTACCAGCACGTATGACACATACAAAAGCAATGTTGGTGACCATTGCATGGACAGATGATGATCGAACAAACAGGCTGCGTGTGTTTGAGCAAGTGTTGCAGCATTTGCTGGTGAGGTTATCGCTATCAACTTGGGCTTTCATGAGTTAGTATGACTCGCTGTAACTGCGCTTATAACACAAACGTGAGCCCCCAAGTCATCTAACATTCCTATATGTAGTTTATGAGTACAATCACCGGTAGGTCACAAGTACCCATGCACCTCCAAGAAGAGGTGAGCCACGCCACATGGAGCCCTCTTGTATCAGTACTAAAGAAAACAAGTGAAATTGGCCGAAGAAGCGATACCCCATCCCAAAAGCAATACCACCCATAGTGATCGTCGGTGATGTTCTGTCATGCACCCTAGCAAGATGGGTTGCCTGAGAAGCATCATTGTGGAGATTGGAGAATCTTATTGTATGCCAAGCTTTCACAAGACGCCATTTGTTGAATACCGCCTGCTTGATTTAGTTGTGGCAGTCGTGGCCATACCCCTCGTGATGCCCATTGACCTATGGAATCGCCCTGCCGAAGCCCATGACCCACTTGATGGCTAGCAAGCCCGCAGCTACTGCTGCTGTCGTTTTGCTACTGCTGGTACTACTATTGCTACATATACCTTGACCAGTATTGATAGCTAGTACTGGTAGTTGTACCGGCGCAAGTTCTACTACTACTCTTACTTCTACTCCTTTGCCTCTTGCGCTTCCTCTTCTTGTTTGCTATGCTACCCCTGCTGCTGCTGCCATACCCCCACCTGCTTCCTTACTACAGTAGTCTTCGCGACTAGCGATACCCAGCATTGAACCACACCACCAAACAAACTTCATGAGAAAGCGAAACCAATCCCAAAAGCGAAACCCCCAATCGGCTTTCGGCCCCAGAGCATCTGAATTTAGAGTGCCGCTAAGGTTGAGATGGCATTGGATGTCGAGTTAAACCGCAACCAGTTCTACCAAACCGGCGTTTCTCCAGTCTTTGTGGTCTCGCAGAACTTGTTTTGTGTTTTTTTCTTGGCCGAGCTGCTCATTCGAACCCCGGCAAAACATGAGAGTGCTACTGTAGGCCAAGCTGCGTCCAAGGTTGCAGTATCTGTAACCAGTGGCCTTTGCCATTCCTGGAAGAAAAGGGTGTATATAGGGGTTATATAGGGATAGTGGAAACAAAAATGGAAGCTACTATACTATAATAGGGTGTACTTAGGGGTTATACAGGGATGATGGAAAATGAAATGGAAGCTACTATAATGGGGTTATACAGGGTTGCACTGCTCTGGTGCCAGATGGCTGTTTGAGCTTGTTAATTAAAGAGTGCTGACTCAATCAAGTGCTGTTTGGTCCTCTTGTCTGGTGCGTTTCGTCCCCACTTTGCCAGCCTTTGTCCCTAAACCCTGGAAACCTAAGCCCTTAAACCCCTAAACCCCTAAACCCGAAACCCCTACAACCTAAACCCAAAACACCGAAACCCTAGGATGTGTTGCCCATGGGGGCCTGCGGCTTGCTTGTCAAGATGTGTGGTTCTCTTTCGAGAGCCTGCTGGCAATGCTGCTGGGTTGCTGTAAAGGATCTTAAAATAAGCTACCATAATGGGTATATAGGGTCTAGGATTTAGGGTTTAGGAGCTAAGTTACCATAATGGGAATATATATAGTAAATACTAGGGCATCCTCAAAAGAGTAACTGAAACTAAGTTCCTTAACAGCAACCCAGGCTGATGATGCTGGAGACCTGGGCCGCCAGCTGCAGATGGTGATGCCATGGGGGTGTTTCCATGGGTTTCCATAAGCAGAATCTCACGATGTAGACCCCAACCGTGTTGTCTACTCCTTCTTTTGGGGACTCCCCAAAGCAATGTCGCACTTATTGCAGATTTTCATCCCGCTTCCGTGGCATGATGCACGCAGCATGACGCCCGCTGGATTCCCACTGAATCTCACTTTGACCCCCGAATTTCTGATTCTTACTGAGGTAATGCCAGCTCTCGATGCAGTCCAGGTCACCTCAGGCTCGGCAAACACCGCCAGCTCACTGCGCTTTGCCCGCGTGCTACGGGTATTGCGGACTGTTGCTGGGCTGATCTAAGTCTATCATTGCATACACACACATCGACGTGTGGCAGCCCTGCAGCCCTGGCCACACGAAGCGCTAGAAAGTTCAGAGCAACATCTTCTGATGCACTGAGGCACGCCTGGCACCACTGCTGCATTGGACGATTCACACAACATGTGCTTGCCAGTGGCAAGCGTGATGAACCAGCCTCGTCCAGTCGGCATTAGCTTGGAGTTCAAGTGCCAAGGGCTGTTGGCCCTGTGCACCCCAGGCGAGACTCGTGAAGTTCATGCCAGAGTTGATGATCCTGGTGAAGGGCATGGTGGTTGCCTGCCGTTCCGTGTTCTTCACACTGCTCCTGCTGTTGATCCTTACTGTGGCTTGTCTTTGCCCAACATGTGGATACTGCGCTAGGATAAGACATGTGCTATTGACTTTGATGTTGTAGGTTGGTTGGCAAGCGGTTTCGGACAAAAAAAACAGAAGAGATCTCACAGCTGGCTTGCTTGCAGCTTCAGATTTTAAGCGTATTATAGACCATAGTCCCCCTTATGTCGACAGATTATGGCTTTGGGTATATTACAACAAGATCCTTATATACTCATATTCTATCTACTTAAGCGGGCCTCTAAGCCTAAACCCTGTTATACGATAGTAGTCTCCATTTCCCTTTCCATTATCCCTAAAACCTCTTTCTAACCCTATGACCCTCTGCAAACCCTGAACCCTAAACCCCTAGACCCTAAACAAAGGTCATCTTCAGTATCAACTTTATGGAATTCAGTCGCGGCACTGCGAGCCTTCATTCCGAGTCTTAGCTTTCCAGTGGATAACCTTTTGGGGGGGTTTAGGGTTTAGGGTTTAGAGTTTAGGGTTTAGGGTAAAACTCCATATGGCAGTTTCCCTAACTATGGGGACCCCAACATAGACCTCAATATACCACAATCCTTATTCTGGGGACCCTCAAAACATGTACCCCTAATTTGGGGAAACCCTAATACAAACAAAAAGGTTAACCTTGGGAAATCCCGAGGTCCCGGGCAGCTACTTACTGGCCATTAGTGGACAATAAGGGAATATAATATACATATATATATATACTTAGGGCTTATGTAGGGATTATATTCCCTGCTTCCCTAAGCCCAAAACCCTGAAACCTACCAGTAAGACTCCCAGGAGTTCTTCGATTCGCTATGGAGCTCTGTGGGCACGTTGCGGCCTGCCTTGAAATGTTCTAAACCCTACACACTACTAGATACAAAAAAATGACTTCAGCGCTTAGGGTTTGCCTTCCTAAGTTTATACCTTGGGAATTATGGTATTATAGTATACTAAGGTCATGCATGGGATTAGGGTTTAGGGTTTAGGAAGATTTTTTGTATCAGCAGGAACGAATGAATGCTTTGTGGATCTGCCCTGGCCTCGGCGCAGAGTTAGTGTTCAAGAGGAGGTGTCACAAAATTAGGGCTTTTTTTGGCGGGGTCAGAGTCCTAAGGAGTTTAGAGTATAGTATTCTGGGGTCGATATTGGGGTCCCCCTATTTGAGCCGGGGTCGAGGTTACCGTTATTGTCAAGCAGTAAAAGGGGACTGTTCAATGATTGGAAAGAACTGCAGAACGATACGAGGCACCCCAAAAAAGAGACCCTTCAAACCTGCAAAACGTTCAAGGCACCCCAGACAAATTCCACCACTGCCACAAACAAGGAACACTCACGCCAGCTGATTTAGGCAGACTGCGGTACGAAGACGGTTTGGCCTCAGGAACCGTTGCTTGAAAGAAACCCAGCAAGGACAGCTCTCCATCATAGGGAGATATAGTAATCCCAAAACGTAAACCCTAAACCCTAGCAGCATTGTCCAAAGCTTTGTCTGAAGGATTCTCCACTGCATCCTTCCTGACCAGGAGGCCAGGTTTCCAAATTCAATGCTGTATGAGTATTGCGGCTTCTAAGACGTTAGTATATCATAGTGTATTATGGCATATAATAGTATATTCTAATATATTATAGTATATTATAGCAAATTCTAGTATATTCTAGTGGCTTCTAGCCCTTAATATTTGAGTCCTTGGGCCCTTAGGGAGTGCTTCGAGATGTCAATTATGCAAGTAAGCCCTAAAGCCTAATCCCTAAACCCTGTATACTCCCTATCTAATCCCTTTATACACCCTTTATAAACCCCAAACTCCCTAAGCCTTAAAGTACAAGACATTGGTTTAGTCACCTTAGATTTGCGGCCCCGGGATCCTCCTTCCATTTGGCTGCTCAACCTGCACGTCAACAACGTCCCTCGGTTGCTACCCCAACAGATCCTTCAACTCCCGCCGCCAAGTCTGCTGTCTGCGCTGTCATAAGCCTAAGAATAGTAAAAAGCTCTTAAGAATTGAAACTGATTATATAGTAATATTTGGAAACATAGGAGTAATAATACTAGTCATAGTAGTGATAGTCGTATAGTTTAGGAGGACCCCCACCCTGTAATAGTGGTATACTAGGAATATAAGAAGACCCTAATATAATCCTAATATAATCCCTATTATCCCCTATAGTCACTATTACTGGGGGGGGTCCACCTAAGATAGTCGTATATTAAACATGCTTGCTAGCCGAGCAGCGTCCCGTCCGTGCAATAGCCGTCGAGCCTTTCTGGAGGTCTTCTTTCGGGCCGTGGCGGTGGAGAGCGAACCCCTTGCTGCTGGGTTGTTTAGGGTTTAGGGAACTTATTTCAAGGGATTATACAGGGGTTATCTATGGGTTATTATCCCCGTATAATGGATAATCAAATGGAAAAGAAGATGGAAAAGAAAATGGGAAATCAAAAGGAAATTGGGGTAATATAGGGGTTAAGGAACTTAGTCCAAGTAACTATATTGGGGAGACCATATTACTTGCTGTGTATACCCATGCTGGTAGCTTAAGCCCTAAACCCTCGACAACCTACATACCTTTGCTAATCCCTATATTACCCCAGGTTCCATTTCATTTTCTATGTTCTTTTCCATTTGATTCTCTATTATAGGGGGACGATATAGCTTTTTTCACGTTCTCTAACCCGAAACCCCATATACCCATTATGGGACCTTAATTTAAGTTCCTTAACCCCTACATTACTTCAGTTTCCATGTCATTTTCTATGTTCTTTCTCATTTGATGCTGCATTATAGGGGGATAATATGGCTTAAGTTAAGTTAACCCTAAACCTTAAATACCCTGTATACCCAATTTTTACCCATTCTGGTACCTGAATTTAAGTTCCTTAATCCCTATATATTTCTCAGTTTCCATTTCATTGTCCATGTTCTTTTCCATTTGATTCTGCAGTATGGGGGGATAATATAGCTTAACTTAAGTTCCTTAACCCTAAGCCCTGAATCCTAAATACCCTATATACGGTCTGTACGGTATATAACATACCCTATACATACCCATTACGGTAATTTAAATTAGATCCTTAACAGCAGCCCAGGCCGCCCCAACCCTAAACCCTAATCCCTAAATTCCCACACGGCCTGCTTAGGCCGCTCCCACCCATTACTAGGGTGGTCAGACACTGAAGATACACGTCAGACTGGGTCAGACAATGGGAGGAGCCTATGGAGAATGGACGTATATAGCCCCTCCGGGCTCCTCCCGTACATCGGGAGGCACAGCCCTCCCTAGTAGGCCAAATATATACAATGTACGTTGATTTTCTTCTTGAAGGGAATACCCCAAACCCAAGGTTGCAAGCCCTGAAAACATGCACCCCTATTTTCAGTGACCTCCTAGCAGGGCCCTTGAAAGTCTGGCCCCTGGCTGCAGCAAATTGTCGGGGTAGGGGCCTGAGACAGGGGGGCAACCTGCCCAAAATGCAGGTGCTTGAGGCCCTGGAGGGTCGGGGGCCCTGCCCCTGGAGGCCCCCTGGAGCGCCGGGTCCTTTGTGCTGGTGCTCATTTGAAGGAGAGCGAGAAGACGATCTTTTGAAGGTGGGAATTGGGTGATGTC